GACTTTTTCAGAGCCTTGGTCAGATCACCGTCGTCGCTGCTGTCGTTGGCAGAGTTCTCAGCGCTACTGCCGGCATCGGCTTTAGACACCGAATCTTCGTTGCTTTCGTCTTCGCTTGCGGGCGCAAGGGATGTATCCTTGGACATATCCTCTGGCTCATCACCAGCGGCAGACGCCTCCTCGGTGTCATCGGCGTCGTCGTTCTCCTCAGCCTCAGAAGGTGTTGCTGACAAGTGACCAAATATGTTGTTGGGCGTGGCTGATGAGTCGGTCTTCTTGTCAAATATTGAAGCACTAGGAACCGAAGTAGATGCCTTCTCCTTCTTATCTGAATCACTTGTGTCCTCATCTTCAAAAACAAAACCCTTTCCAGGAACAAACTTCGAGCGTTTCGCAGCTTGAGACTCAAATGCCTCTTGCTTTTTCCGGCGTTCTTCGGCGTCTCTTTTCTCCCATTCAGCCTCGTCTTCTTCATCGGAATCGAAATCTTCCGCCTTGCGCTTTTCCTTCTCTTTTTCAGCATCCTTATCTACCTGTGCCTTGAACTGGGCGAAGAAGTTCGTTGCTCCAGCGCTGAATTTGGGCATGCCAGGAACAGGGGCTGGTGCAGCGCTAGCTTGCTTATCACCTGACGGCTTTAGGACGAAAGGATTCGAGGTAGTAGGAGTGCCATTAGTAGAGGCATTGGATGTTGGCTTAAAGGAGGAGGCAGATTGCGAGAACAGTGACGTCGATGTGGAGCTTTCCTTTGTGGTGGTCGAGGCTGCGAAAAGAGGCTTAGGAGGAGAAGAGATAGGCGTAGTGGAGAACAAAGCAGGTGCATCGGAGTCTGGGGTAGATGGCCTGGCGGAAGAAGTTATGGATTGAGTAGAGTTAGGCTTAGTTGGCTCATCACTTGACTCAGAGGTTATGGATTTTGAAAAGGACTGTGCGAAGATGCTCGCCGTCGTGGAGTCTCCGTTGACACGCTTTCCTGGCGAAGCAGTGGTCTCATCCTCATCGGCCACCTTTCTCTTGCTGGTGGTCGGAGTCGCTTGGCTTGCTCCGAAGATGTTGGTGGCCGGAGAGCCAGTCACGGCTGTGGCTGGGGCGGGCGAAGAGCTTTCTTTGCTAGAGGCAGGCTTCAGACCGAAGGGCTTGACCTTTTTAACGGAATGATCATCGGCAGTTGCACTTTCGTCTCCAGCTTTACGCTTTTGGGGCCCAGCTGGCGCTCCAATTGTGTCACGAACTCGCATGTAAAATTGCACGAGAGCATCAAAGTCGTCTTTAGTAGGATCCAAGCGATTCACTTCGCGTTTGAAACATTCATTCAACATGCGCATGCGATACAACATCTCCACTTCTTCCTTGCTTGCCTTATCAAGATCAGCAGGAAGTCCAGATGGTCGTATGTCCTCAAAGCTTGTTGCCGAGCTCTTTTCAGTAACAGAAGCCGATGAAGTCGACGAGTCCGTACTTGTGCCATTAACCTTGAATGGGCTTTGAGAAGGTGCCGGGGCAGTCACAGCTGGAGCTTGGGTCTTATTTCCTCCAGTAGGGGCGGGGAACAACGGTGACTGCGCGAAAAGACCAGAGGATTTAGAAGCATCCGATCCTGATGTGGGTGCCGAGAAAAGCGGTGCAGGAGTGACCGGCTTCTGTGGCTGACTAGATGCCTCGCTAGATGTGGAAGGCTTTGGTGCGAAAAGGTTACCGAAAGCGTTAGCAGAGGGCAGCGACTTCTGCTCCGTGGAGGGCTTCTGCTCTACATCTGGCTTGGCCGGGGTAGCTGGTTTTGGCGCGAAGAGGCCGCTAAATGGGTTTCCTTCGGCAGGTTTAGATTTGTCCTGCTCCGCACTGGAAGTGCTCTGCTCTGCAGATGGCTTGGGGGCAAACAAACTACCTGTAGACGGAGGCTGGAATAGGCCGCTTGACGGAGCCGATGGAGCTGCAGAACTTGCACTCGTTGAGAACAAAGACGGGCTACCGGTGGAGGGCGTAAATTGGAAACCAGTCTTAGATTGAGACTCCTCGAGTTTCTCCTCTTGCTTTTGTTTGGCCTCCGAGGCCGGTGCTGCGGTTGATGAAGCGGGTGTGCCAAACAAGTTTGTGGACTGGAATGGATTCTGGAATGATGAGGTGGGTTTAGCAGACGATGAAGCTCCGAAGATAGACGGTGATGGAGCGGCGGTGGTGCTCGAGGCCGCGGGGGTAGATGAAGCGGGAGCAGGAGTAGAACCAGGTTGAGTAGTCGCGCCAAAGAGCGAGGTCGATGGAGTTGACTGCTCCGTGGGCTTAGCACCAAAAAGAGGCTTGGGTGTCTCGGCGGGTTTTGATGTGGAGCCACCGAACAAGGAACCAGCCCCAGAGCTAGCGAAATTCGTGGAGGTTCCGAAGCCAGACTGAGAGGCACCACCGCCAAAAATAGGCGGCTTTGACTGCGCACCGTTGTTCTTTGCATCAGGAGATGTCTGCATAGACTCGCCAAAGGCAGTGGACTGCCCGAATGGGGAGGGCTTATTCGAGGCCGATTGGCCGAAGACGTTTGTCGACGGAGCATTGCTGGAAGCACTGTTCTGTCCGAAGATACTGCCTGTGGTAGCGGGAGCTGTCGTTGCAGGTTGCCCAGAGGATCCACTAGTCGTACTGCTGCCAAATAAGCCTCCAGTGGTGTTGTTTTGTTGCGATCCTGTTCCAAAAAGCCCTCCCGAAGGCAAAGGTTGCTGGGCTGGGGCCGAACTACCAGCTGGGGGAACATTGAACATGTTTCCCTTGAAGCCAGAGAAACTGCCTCCATCGGACGACTGGTTGGTGGAACCAGTAGTCATGCTAGCAAAAGGATTACTTGATGTCGATCCTGATCCACCAAACGATGAAGAAAAATTGAATGAAGACGAGCTACTTCCACCGGAACCGAAAGAGAACGGTGTCGATCCGTTTTGGGTCGGTTGACTAGGATTTGAACTGGCTCCGGGGAAGCTCTGTGACTGGCCAAATGAAAACCCATTTGAGATTGGTTGGGGCGCAGACGGTGTAGAGACAGCATTGGGGTCAAGAGAATTGAAAGGGCCGCCAAAAGACGCTGTTGCACTGGGGGCAGCTGTGTTGGGACGAGTTCGCCTCCGAACGTCCTTAATCCTATCCAAATATGTTAGAGATCCAATATAGTGGCTAGAAATATATGCAAGTCATCATATACGCATATTGAAGGGCCGAGGACGGATGAGTTCGAGCACAATGCGATTTACAATGACAAGGGTATGTTGAATAAGATTGCTGAGTAGGACAAAGTGGCACAATGAAACAAAGATAGGACACAATTAATCACTTTGAGATATGGCAGGCTGCAGGTAAAGGCCAACAATATGGGACAGATCGCAAACGTAGGTCTATATCCACTTACTTTCTCTGCGCCATCTGCGCAGCGGTTGCCCGCTGCGGCTTTTCATCTGGTGTGCTGTTCATATTGAAATCAAACAAGTTGGAATCCTTGTCCCCCTGAGGGCCCTGGGCCGATCTTTTCGACATCTATTGTATTAATAGTCCCCCTGTCTAGGCTTGAAATGCCTCGGACAAACAAATAATAGTTGACTTCGCCCCCTTCCTAGACCTGTGTTCAAGCCCCTTCACTCGGATTTCTCATCCACAATGTGGGCGGTTTGATCGTGTTGGTCTTCTTCCGGGCAGCTAGTGCTTTACTCTTGGTTCCAACTGAGGGATCCAGCGCCGATTGTCACGACGATTTATCGAAGCGACCGGCGCACGAGTCCGAGAGACGGGAGAGTAAGTATGCGAGAGACGATCCGGAAACCGTAAATGACAGGACCTCTCTATCGTCGCTTTCTAGGTCACTAGATATTATTCTAGTAACTGTCACGTCTCTTCCCGGATTCAGTGAGATGGATAAGGCCGGGACGCTGGCGCGCTGGGTAGGTGCTCCGGAGATCGATCGCGACGTGCGCGAGGCAACGAGACGGGAGTTAGGGTGAGGAGGGATGAGAAGGCAGAGCGGTATAAATACAGCGCTCTCTAGGATATCAAAAGGGCAGATTCCTTGCTTTTGATATGCTCTGCCTTGGATTGGGATAGTCGTGGCTCCGAACGAGCTTCGTTTCAGTTTGCCTTCACAAGAGGCTCGCGACTTTTTTTGACGGGGAAAGTCGCCCATGGAAAAAAAATACAGTCACGTGAGGATGCAAGGCGACCCTCTTGGCAGGTTGACAGGCCACTACTAATAGTATGGCAAAACACCCGAGAGAATGCAATATCATGCAAGGAAATAAATAAACAGTCGATATTAATGGCAGATTGCGATGCTTCGTATATGACAGCTGCACTTGGAGGAGGGGTGATCTTTTGGAGGGGGTCTCTCATGTGGATTAGTACCATTATTCACTACATAAACAGACAACCCTGTATTGCTTACCATGGGTGTTACATACTTGCTAACTATGTACACATCTGGGTATGTATGCACACAATCATATCACCCTTCGCATCTAACAGTGGGGAACAAAAATATGTGTATATATATTCACACATCAAAATTATCTCTACAGGGTGTCTAATGGTAGTAGTGGTTTTCTCGAGTCACCGTTTTGATGTCACGTATCATGATGTCAACCGGATATTCGTAGTAGAATATATTCCGGGTATGCCATATTAACATCTAAGTGATTTCTTGTCGGTGGCAACGACAATCACAAGACAAAGCATACATACATGTCAAGGAGCTATTTATTTATTTCTGTAGTATCCTAAATATTTAGTACCCAAAAAAGTCCACCTATACATTGTTGTTCTTACCACACCATGCCTACAGTACAGGAAATGAAAGTGATCTGCAATGAAGTCATGTCTCATACTAAGTATTCCCTGTAGCTAAAGCGAGGGTGTAAGCTTTTAGAGTGGCTTCTTGCCCTACGTAAATGAAAAGAAAAACCGAGGGGAAAAAAAAGGTTCATCAGACGAACAAAAATATACATTTAAGCGAAATACTACACAACGCAACTGGGTATCTATAGCTTGGCCTTGCCCTGGGCCTTCTTGAGGACGGGCTCCATCTTGGTCGCCTTCATGATGTTACCCTTGATCTTGAGCTTGCCTCCCATGAAGAGTCTCTGGGCGTTGGCCTTGCCGCTAACCAGGGAAGCGAAGTCAGAGTCGGAGAGGGACAGAGTCACTGTTATTCGACGACGCGATTCAGTTAGCTTCTTTATCACCAGAACAAAGGAAAGACGCCGGTGCGACACTAACCATCAGCCTTGGCACCCTGAGGAGCAGCACCCTTGCCCACAACACCTTCGTTCTTGAGGTCGAGGTACCAGCTATCTTCCTCGCCCTTCTCGTTCTTCAGGTTGAAAGAGACGATGGCCTTGGCCTTGGAGACAGCGTCCTTGCGCTCGGCAGCATCGCTCTGGAGAGCGGCGTTGATCGCGTCGAAAGCAGCGGAGGAGGGGAAAGCGTCTAGATAATAGTTATCGTTAGCGATCGACTTACTAAAATGTAGAATATTTGGCCAGTGGGGAAAAGTTGGCCAGGAGAGAGACGTACTGTTCTTGAGAGACATGGTTACGGTTTTGTGATAACACAGTTGTGAGAGAACGTATATAGTAGTGGGTGGGTGAGAGCTAGTTGATAGTTGAATAGTCGTGTGTCCCAGGGAAGAGAGGAGAGAGAAGATTTAAATAGAACGAGTCTGGGGAATTAAAAACCAGGGACGTCAAGCTTCCCCGTAGTGTTCGGGGCATGTGAATGGAGGGCGGTCGCGGAATTCATGTCTTGTCATGCGGACCGAGGCTTTACCAGCCCTTTTCCTGGCTCTCACTCCTGTGATTTCTGGTTTCTATTAAACCATTTCCAATGCATTATGCTTGCATAGCTGGAGCAATACAATTTTTGAGTTCTCCTTACAAGCCCTGGATCTACAAATTTCTCCCGTGCTGGCCAATGTCGAGGATCAAGCCGTAAATGATATTGCGCCGAGAGAATATACTGATGGAGAATCTCGACTCTGTCCACATGGTTACATGCACAAAAGCCCCGCAATTAGGATGAGAAAAGACCAACGCGAAACAGAGGGGCTGGAACCCTACAAAGAAAGATGACTACTGATTAAATTTATGGCTGGGAGGTTGAGCCCCCAACAAGAACCAGATCGATGATTCTAGAGAAACAAATGATCTTGATGAAGATCAGCATTGCCTATTGCGGTAAGCAGCCCGAACCACTGCATCACTGAGATTATGTAACTATGTACAGCACTAGTGGTATGTACTAGTTGTGGTAGTTATGTACGGAGTACGGAGTACGAATACTCTGTCCCATATTATAATTGCAAACGAGCTGCTCGCGTGCTCATGTCATACGGGAGTCAATTGTAGTCGGGCTTTTTGTTTTGTTTTTTTTTTTTTTCTTTTTCCCTTTCATCTCATTCTAATTTCTGTCTTCCCACCAACACAGAGGAATTAATTAACACAGTGTTGGTGTGATAATAAAATAAATAAGTGCACATCTCCAATAAAGGGGGGAAGACCAAAAGACAGGTGAAAAGAGAGAAATCGAATCTCAATCTCACCACAAACGACCATCTCGGTTCGATGTGATTAGCTCAGAAATTCGCCGATAAAAACATATCGCCCCTCTTAGTAGATTCGATGGACTTGAGTAAAAAGTGATTTTGGTTTGATAACACAACAGTCTATGGCAAGATATAGCACAATCTCACCCAAGTGAGAGGAATTACAGGGCGAATAGATCTTGGGTATCTTCTAGAGGATACAAATCCAATTCAATGTTTAACTCAGAAATCCGCCAACGCCATGCTGATGAGATAAAGTATAAAACCACCCCTAGTGAACTCCCTAGGTATGAAGTTAGCATTGAGCGACACGGTCAAAACGAAGGAACGGATTGGAAACACCTACAAATAAGTAAGCCAGCTCTCGGGTTCCCAGTCTAGAGATATTCTTGGAGGCCTTCTCGTCCAAAGCTCCTTCAATTAGTTCTCGTTTCTTATCCTGAAGTTCAAGGATGCGGTCTTCAACAGTGTTCTGCACGAGAATCCGATGAATGTGTACCTCTCGCACCTGTCCAATCCGATGCGCGCGGTCGATTGCTTGTTCTTCGATGTATGGATTCCAGAATGGATCGAAGATAATAACCTGTGAGGCGGCAATGAGGTTCAAGCCAGAGTTACCCGCTTTCAACGAGACCAGCATAATCCTGCAATCGGGGTTATCGGTGAAATCCAGCACTGCGGAGTTTCGGTCTCCTGGCTTCATGCTACCATCATACCGCCGATAACCCCAGCCCTGACGCACAATCGGAACTTCGAGCAAGTCAAGCAAAGACGTGAACTGACTGAAAATGATTGTCTTCTCCTCGCCCCCCTGGATACCCCGCAGAATCTCCATGGTCTTTTCAATTTTAGCGCTCGACACCCAAGTCTTCTCTAGTCGTCGGAGGTACTTGCGTTTCGATTTCTGATTTTTCGAGGCTTCTTTCTTCAGTTCAGCAAGTGTTTTCTTAGCCTTGGCCATTTTACCTTTCCCCTTGCGCCTGGACTTCTTGGGAGAGCTGTGATTGTCCTCCTCATCATTGACAATAAATCGAGTCAGGCTGTCGTCGTCATCGCTATCATCACTCTCGTCTTGCTCCTCTGCAGGCTCGGCGGGCTCTTCTTCAACTAGGCCCTGGGAGTGGTCAGGGTCATGAACCTTTCTAAACGACACATGATCGGTAATCTTCTTCGGGTCCACTTTGCCACGGCAGTTAGGACACTTCACTTCCACGGCACCGTCGTGACCCTGCCTCAGAGCCAATGACGGGTCGGAAATCCTTGAGAAGCATTCTGCACAGGTGCTATGCCCGCAAGGGAAGAAGATGATTGGGTTTTCAACGGCATCCATGCAGATGGGACATTCGAGATCATCATTGTTGCTTCTCAAGCGGATCACAACATCCTGATCGAATTCTTTCGCGTTCGCAATCAGATCTAAATCGTCCGTGTTCGCATTGAGCTTGACGCTAAAGTCGGTAATTAAATGGGGATGGCAACACGCCTGTCGCAGCCGAAGGAGTAAGACTAGAATATTGGAGTAGTTTCGCCCCACGGTTCCAGCCTCGAGGTACCTGTTGAACTGGAGTTGAGTTCGAGCCTCGAGCGAATTGTATAACTCTAATTCATCTTCACTGAACACAGAGTGCACTTTTTCTGAGATCCGTTGTGGGAGTTGTAGAATTGGTTTCCCATCAATCTTGGAGTCTTTAGTTCGCCGCAAGAGTACCGCCTTCAGAAGTACCTGAAGTTGTCTCATTGCTTTGCGCTGTGCACTAACACTGGACCCCTTGAGGGGCCGTGTGAAGTCGTGATTGAACCGCTCCAAATTGCTGTAAGGCTTGATGCGGAGAAATCTCAAGAGTGAGTGCAACTCTTCGACATTGTTCATCATGGGAGTTCCGCTCATACACCAGCGATAGGTGGCATTAAGGCGACAACAGGCGAGGGCAGCCTTTGTGTTACGGTTCTTGATACACTGTGCTTCATCAATGATTACACGATACCACTTGCTGGACGGTCCAAGACACGGTAAAGATTTGGCAATTTCCCTCAGGGTTTGTTCGCTCGCATCAGATGACTGTAACTCATCGTATTTTTCCCGCCGCTTGAGTTCGGAAGACAACGTTCCAAAGGTAGTGAGAACCACGTCATAGTTCTTCAGGTCCCTAAAGCTCACGGCTCGCTTTTCGCCGTGCAAAACATAGACCGAGAGTTGGTAACGGCCAGGCTTCAAAATTCTTCCGATCTCTCGCTTCCACTGCTGCATCAGCGCGACGGGGGCAATGATCAAAGTCGGTTTTCGCTCCTCATCCGTAGAGGGCCGGGATACCATGAGAGCAATGGCTTGGATTGTCTTGCCCAGGCCCATATCATCAGCGAGTATACCGCCTTTTTGCTCCTGCTCCTCCATCGATTTCATCCATGCCAGTCCAAGCTTCTGGTGCTCCAACAACGTGAATTTGAGAGCCTCAGGAGTCCCCTCACGGTTTTCGGTAGAAATATCCGAATCGGGCCTAATAGTCTCCAGAAGTTGTTTGATCTCTTCATTAACCTTTTTAGGATCAGCTCCGTAGTAATCACTCATCCACTCCGGCAACTTGTTCATGTCGTAGCCGGTGGGACCTGGATAAAGAGGAACCGAGCTATCGTAGGGTGAGAAGGGATTAGGATATTTCCCGAAGATGGACTTCCCCGCATGTTCAAGCAGCTCCTTCCCAGCACTGAGCCTTGCCATAGTATTCTGCAATACATGTGGGCCGTATGCGGGACCAGGTCCACCGATGCCACTCGGACCGGGCATTGACTCTAGATAAGGGTACATATTGGAGTAAGGTCGCTGTTGCAGAAAGCTGTCTTGCAATGGGTAATGCGAACCGCCGATGGAATGCTGCGACACGAAAGGACGCTTGGAGGACGGACCGATGAGAAGCTCGAAATCATGGGCTGAGATCTCGGCAATATCACTATCATCGCTGTCAGGTGTGATGGTCGGTTGGAGGGGCTGATGCCCCGGCCGGTTTGTCTCAGGCAACGGAGGCGGTACGAATGGTGAACGATAAATATCTGTGGGCTGTATGGCCCCAGGTATTGATCGATTGACATTGGGAAATGGTGTGCCATTTCTAGTCATAGGAGCGGGGGAGGGCAAAGAAAACCCAGAGTAGTGAGTGGACGAAGTGCTTCTGGCTGAAGCTGGTCGAGGCGACTCTTGCAAGCCTTCCAGTCTACGAGCATACTCCTCGTCGAGGCGTTCCTGTTCCTTGCGCTTCTCGAGCCACCGTTCAGCTTTTCGCTGTTCGTCTTGGAGCTCGAGGATATCATTACTGTCCAAGCCCAGCACTTTTCGAAGTTCATCCATGCTATCGTCAAAGCCATCATCCTGCTTCGGCCCCTGCCCCTGAAGACTACGCACAGGCAATGAGATCGGGCTAGAGGAAGGTATCTTTGTTGCGACCCGCTTTGAGGGTAACTCCAGATCATCAGTCCAGTCTGTTTCGGTACCATCATCAAGAGCGTGATTACGATCATCGTCTTCTTCTCGCCCACGCTTTCGAATGGTCAATGGCCCTAAAGGTTGAGATGACTCCGCCAGCTTCCTCGCCGACTGAAATGGCTGCGACGGGGGAGACATGGTCGACTGATCTTGTCGTAAACCCCAGGGAGAGTTTACCGGACTAGAACGAGAGCTTCCATCCAACTGGGCTCGATACAAAAATGAGTTTTCCGGACCCTGGTGGGGAGCAAAGTGACTATGTGGCGGGCTCTTTGTGGCAGTACCGCGTAGTTCTGCCAGTCGCGTTTCTAATGTTTTGATAGCAGCTAAAATCTCTTGCTTTTCAGCAACGGCATGTGGTCGTTGCTCTTCTAAGCTTTGCAGAATAACATGGTTTAACTGAAGATCTTCCAGGAGATCTTCTATAGACGCGTCAGTTGGGGAAGCCATGATGGATAAATCCAAGTTGAGAATGTGCTTGTGAGCTTAGCGCCCAAAGCTGCCACCTCCACACAAAGGCGTTCGGGCTTCGAGATCAGGGATAATACACAGCTCTGCGATGCACATGAGCTAACTTGAGGTGCGACATTAAAAACTGAAGAATGTAAGATGTGGGATTAGTGATCGCTGGAGAAGATGATGTGTAGATTGACGATCGCGCTTGGCAGCGGAAAGTGGATGTTAATTCTGACGGAACAGGGCGTAAGGGAAAAAATAGAAAAATTACAAAAATAAAAAAGGAGGAAAGGAAAGGAAAGGGGCGGGCAAATACCCCGGAACAGGCTAGAAACACAAGAGGATATAATAGTGAATGAATATTAAGAAGCTGCTGCCTGCAATGTTGACTGGTGTAGGTGCCTGTTCATCCGTAGAAGGTGTAGTTTACATTATCCGTGGCAATCAACTCAGCTCGAGATTTTTTTCTTATTTTCTTCTCCCCCTGCACTCTCCCCCTCCTCTGGATCTATCACATTATCGCATACACTTGCATATACACACCATATTGAAAACCTTTGTCAGCCTTAAACTATTAATATCGCTCATTCCTTTATATATGTATATATTCCTGGTACCGTTTCAGAGGATTTATTTGCTTTTTTTACTCTGATATATTACATTTGAGAGATCCATATATAGTCGTATCTATATATGGAGTATTCATAATCAAATTTACTGTGTGATTGTATAGAACCATCTATCAGAGATTCTTTTCTGGAAGTTATATCTGAAATCCCTGCACTAAAAGAATATCTACCGGTGAAGGTGTGTATATGTATACACCACTAGATAGTATTCGTGGTAGGTGAATTCTCGAGTCTCGTCACCTTGACAGTCTTCCCAACTAGGCAAAATGAAACATACACTGAAGATACCCCACATTCTATTCACTAGCCAACACTTTCTGACACAGACCAGAACTATTGACATCATGTATAGTGTTATGGATCATAATTACTACAGTTCATGGCATAGCTGATGATGTCTGTTCCACCCCCAATCTATCTCTATATATTAGTTGAGTCTAAGTGTATTCCCTGTCTCCTCTGTTTTGTCTTTCTCGTGAAATAAATGACGATGCTTTTGTTTGTTTTTCAATGGGCTATGCTAAAATAGCCAACAATCACAGAGCATGTTGTGGTTCTTTTGTGCTGTCAACAGTGTTATCGTTTCAAAAAAAATCAAGAACTTTGTGGAGAGTCTAGACTACTAGTAGTTATATGGAAAACGCATAATCATCCCCCGTCATCCTCAGGCCCATCCTCCGACCGCTATCGTTGTATCGTAATTCGAGACCTTGCATAACGAACCCAATAAGTTGGGAGGGACCACAGCCATAACGGTTGTCCAGCCCCATCCATCCATTTAATTCACGCTTACAGGTCGGCATCCTCCTCGTCGGGCAAAGGCATTTGGGCGGCAGCGTCCATCTCCGCCTGGTACTGCTTGAGAACTTCCTGGTCGACCGTGACCTCGGGGGGAGCAAGAGCAGGGGCAGCAACGAATTCCTAAATGCTATCTTAGCAGGCGACAACAGTGGACCACGGAAAGTTAACTTACCAGCTGGGGGTTGCCGACCAGCTTCCGGGCAAGCCAGAGGAAGGGCTTCTCGAAGTTGTAGTTCGACTTCGCGGAGATATCGTAGTACTGGAGGTTCTTCTTGCGGTGGAAGGTGATGGTCTTGGCCTTCACCTTACGCTCCTTAACATCGACCTTGTTGCCGCACAGCACGATGGGGATACCCTCGCAGACACGGACGAGGTCACCTAGAAGTTGGGTTACCTACTGATTCACATGCGGTGGAGGTGACGAAAGAACTTACGGTGCCAGTTGGGGACGTTCTTGTAGGTGATACGGGAGGTAACATCGAACATGATGATACCGCACTGGCCGTTGATATAGTATCCATCTCTCAGACCACCGAACTTCTCCTGACCGGCAGTATCCCACACGTCGAACTGGATGGTTCCCAGGTTCTACCACAATCGTTAGTCGCCTGAATATAGGATGGCGGTATAACCCAAAGCGGGGTCCCGGGCGGGGCATACGGTGCTGAAAGTGAGAGGGTGCACTTCGACACCGAGAGTTGCGATATACTTCTTCTCGAACTCGCCAGTAAGGTGGCGCTTGACGAAGGTGGTCTGTAAGGAAAAAATGTTAGTGGTAACGTCTCACTATCGGGTTGAGAAATCTGACGATGGCGGCGCAGAGGGCAGGATAAAGAGTGGGGATAGAGACGCCTTCTATGCCGGAAGATAGCGACCATGAGATATAGACTAGAAATATAGAGACTCTCTTTAATGAAAAAGAAAATGAATCCAACTTGCCTTTCCAGTACCACCGTCACCGACAAGGACAAGCTTAAAGGTTGGTGGGGCAGCAGCATGGTGATGTTTATGTGAGAAGAAAATGTGAAAAAAAGGTCTCAAAAACGATAAGGTCCCGGAAGAAGATGATGCGTGTCAAAAGTCGACAAACGGTTGCGACTGATGATAGATGAAGGGACGCGGTGTGTACGGTGAAGATAGGGTTTTTAGCACAGGGAGGGAACAAAGTGAAAGGCGAATCTGGTGATGGAATTTTTGCCCTGAGTCGGTCACCAAGTTTTACGTCACGTGTCTCAGCCTCAGGCACACATGCCCCGCAGGATTGCGGCAACTGCATGGCTATCGATTACTTTAGGTACCAAAACAAATATACTGATATGATGTACGGAGTTGATGGGGGAAAAAGCTACCACGATGTCTTCCGTAAATGTTTTCAGATCATCATCAGTGATCCTAATTAGTAGCTCCTTTGTGACATCTTCTTGCTTGTCCCATTAGATAACTCTAGTCATAAAAAACTATTCGTATGCCTCGTCAAATACAAAGGCCTTGTCTTCAAATCACAAAGGAACGAGATGACAGCCCAATAAACCACGACCACCCCAATCCCGTCGCGGCACAAGCTCCAAGTCCAGTTCTGTGGCATTAACCCCATCTTGACGGAGAACTTTGACGATTAAAGTACGCTGAAATGAAAGTCAGTCAGTTAGTCATTCGTAAAACTGGTCCTTCGCCTAAAGCGACAAACCGCCCCCAGGTACAAGTGAAACGAAGAGCAAAGGAGTAAAGGCTTACCCCTTCATTTTGTTGGACCATTTCGGCCACCTTCGAAAGACGCTCATGATTAATCCAATTAATGGCCCCAAAGCTGCGTATCTTGTCTCCCGCTTTCAGGCCAGCCTGATCCGCAGGACTTGCCGCTGCGACACTGTTTACTCTCGCGAATGGTGGCCCAAGCATCAGGCATCCGACGAAGAATTGCCAGTCAAACTGGATTGCGTTCCACTAGACCCATTTGTATTACCGACAGAAGATGTACCGCCTTGCGCGTGATGGAGATTCGAAAAATGATCGTGAATACCCTTCTCGAGATATTTCATGACCTCTTTGTGGTCATAGCGGAGTCGAATGATTTTCGCGCGTATTGTGCGGACTGCCTTAGGCTTAGCGACAGTTTGGATAAAGGAGAAATGTTCTTACTCTGGGCAACGTCGATATCGGCTCGTGGGAAGTCGTCGAAGGTAGTCAGCGATGAATTCATGTTAACTCCATGCTGCGAAAGACCCAAATGATTAGATATGTACTTGAGGGTAGTAGCCATCTGTCCACTCACAGAAGTAAGAACACTGCTTAACGCCGAAAGCTCCTCTTCAATACGTTCCTTTTCCTGCATCAATTCGACCATGGAGAGCTTGGCCGGATCGCGTTCAGACCCTCCGGTCGTTGTAGGACCGGAGGCCACTGTCGGAGCATGAATATTGTCGTCCATATGTATTCCCATCCTAAGATAAAACCAGGGAGAAGCCAGACATCGCTGCAGCTGTTGGGATAGAAAGCTAAGAAGAGTTGTCTGTGACAGTGGTAATAAGGTGGTGGTGATAGCTTGGTGGGTCTTTGTTCTGGAAAATCTGGGGCAATCTTGGCGCATGACCTTTTAAAGACCCTCTCACGTTGCTTATTTATACAGCTGCAATGAGAAGCAGACATCAATCGGTTTGAACTATTTTACATAGGGATAATTTGACTTTGGTGGATATATTCAGATTATGTGTTATGCAGGTCTAGTCAATTTTAATACCAAGCTTGTTACATGTACATTTCATTTGACATTGAAGTAGGTCGTACCTACCCATGCTTGTGCTGTTCACGATTAGTCGTATGTAGGTTCTGTAGGAAGGTGAAGTTTATCCTCCTTCCGTCTTGGTCTGTTTAGTCTTACTGTGCTATGGGGCATGGCTTCCTTTTATAGCATGCACCTTACGTTCTTCTGCCCCACGAGCTTCATGTATTCTTATTGAAGGGATGGTATGTGTTCTTCCCCACCGTGGGCTGTTCCATTCTATGAATAATCGTCATTCTACCCATCACTATGCAACGGCTCAAAGAAGAGGTGGCTGAAAAGCGCCACCTGGTCATGGGAGGCTTCGAATTAAAGGCAGAACACAGGAATTCAACTGATTCTCATGCGTCAGAAGAGCATATCCCAAGCTTCCTATCGTTCAGACGTTGGGTGAACAGCTTTAGGGCAAAAAAGAGCTACCACCCTGCCAGCGTCTAAGATACGTGGAGGGCTGGTCGGATAATACGCAGGCACGCTGTGATAATACTAATGCCTTGCCCTGCGGAGGACAGGATCTGCAGTGGGAATGTCTCTCCGGTCACTCATCCAACCTGGAGACTATCAAGACGAGTACCTTGAGCGTTGCCAGTCAAAGTGTAGCGAGATCGAGGGGAACCACCCAGAGTACGAATCGGAGTGTCGGCTCAGAGCTACGTGGGTCGATAGAGAGCCTAAGACCAGCATTGAGCTTTACGATCGACGAAGAAGCACAAAACCGGGCTGTTAAGCGACGGAAAGTTCTTCGAGAGATTATTACCACTGAATCTGACTATGTATTTGGGTTGAAAGCTCTTATCAATGTATAGCTTGCATTGGCTTCAAAGAGTTCGCCTCGAATCTGACTGGTTGATCATCCTAGGTGCTTTTCCTTTTATCCACAAGACCGGAGATCTACCACAACCTCCACCAAATTCGAGAACTACACGAAGACCTTCTGGCACGGATCCGCAAGGTGACACCAATGTCTACCCTTGCTGCAGAAGAATATGACAGATTGGTACCTCATGGCGTACATGGGCGCTTCAATCCTACCGATCTAAGCCCGAGAGCACTTCGGAATAGATCTATGAGAACATGTCATTTCAAGAAATCTGTAATTTCGCGCTTTAAAGCACTTGCAGCAGAAGCGAATGAAGCGCTGGAAGTAGCGGTTGAGATTGGGAAACTAGTACGTTGCCGGAGCTTGTTTAATTGGCAGTGCTGATACCTGGTTCTGCAGCCAAAGTCCTTCACAGCATATATGAATTTCTGTAGTAACTACGAGCAGCTTACGGAGGATGTGGATATTCTACGTCGATCAGTGCCGAACTGGTCGGTTTTGGAGAATGGTATCGAAGCCTTGTCAAAGTCGGTAGCGTCGATTGAGTACCAGGCCCTCGAGCATAACAAATCAATGCTGTTGCATGACCTCCTCATAAAGGTTAGAATTAACAGCTCAAAAGGATGTGCACCTAAATGCTGATGGAACCTCAGCCGATCCAACGCCTTTGCAAGTATCCACTACTGCTCCAAGAGTTACTAAAGTGGACCCATATCCAGGATGACCCGACTGCCCATGACGGGATTCACCAAGCATTGGAGAGCGTTCGTACGATGATCAATCAAATCAACAACGCACCTGGTAATCCGGTCAACAAAGGGATGGTTCAGAAGACCCTATTATTACAAGAGATGCTAAGGCTCCCCAGGCTGGTAAGTAACTGGACTGATATGAATCTAGTAGCTTGCGTACGAGCAGGATTTGATCAGATTCCAGGTTGCTCTTCATCACATTTACAAACAATTGGGACCCATGACCCTTTGTGGAGTGCTCCATGCTACATATCAGTCTTCGACGTGCCTTACCGGTGACTATATGGTCTGTGTCTTGTTCAAGAGCCACTTTTTGCTAGCCAAAATCAACAATGACGATCGCAGCTTAGGGGTGGTCGCGTGTTTGTATGTCTGCGATGCGAAGATCGATACCCTGAGGAATGGAAAGGGTAAGAATGCTCTCTTCTTTTCCTTTTCCCTCTCCGCCCTATGCTAAGTCGCAGAATAGGCCTCTGCTGCCATGGGTGCTTTTTCTCATGGAAATTGGTTTTTCAATATCAAAATAACAAATATGAGCTTGTTTTGAGCGCCTCATCCGCTTACGAAGAAAAACAGTGGAAAACGGAGTTTCTCAAGTCGGCCGCAATATCGGCTGATATGCAAAGGCCGGTGTCCTCGGAGCTGCGAGGATATTCCTTCTTGACCTTGGACTTGGCCCCTCTGGATAAAGTGTTGAGTTCCGAGCCTTCATTCTCTCGTACGGCCTCTGTCCACTCGGTAGCAATTTCGCGCGTGGAGTCCGACCTGCAGCATGTAGTGATCAAGAGAACGCACTGCCCACACAAGCAAGGACAGATTACCCGTCATATAGATGGCGAGTTCGAACGACCAAAATTATCGCTTCCAGAGTCACCAATAATACTGACAACTCGAAGACAAGACCGAATAAGACTGGAAAGAATTATCTCTTCAGTGTACACGCGGGAATGCCTCCCATACCCTGGCATGAGCCTAGCAAAAGGCGACATTCTCTTTCGGCCCAGTACAATTATGAGGCGCTTTACTGTCCGCCCGGGGGCCTACAGACGTTCAAGTTCCGTGAACCTTCCTCGAAGCCAGTCTGTCGTTGAGAAACCTTACTCTACCAGGGAGAGTACCCAGCGGAAATGGTCCAACGATAGTGACAAAGTCGAAGCCTTCCGCGCCAAATGGGGGTTTGACGATGAGAAGCACGTCGACAGTCTTCCCAAATCCAGCACGGGAACCATAAAACGCAGTAAGACATTAAGGCTAAGGCATCACCCAAGGTCATCTTGCGGCCTTAACCACCAGCAGACAGGCAAGGGAGACGGAAGTTGTGAGCGCGCCGAGAGTCCTTCATTGAAAACATCAATCCGAATCATGTTTAATTCCATGTCATTAAGGCGACCAAAGAGGAGCCAAGGCTTACGCATTAGTGTTAGTGGGGGATAATGATGCAATGCGGATGGAGAGAATCTGCGATATTGCGTCAGGGGTTGAGGGTCTAAGTGCTTCTATGTCAGAAAAGAAGGTATCTATTTGTTTCGTATCGATTCGCTGAGACAATGGGGGGAAGAGAGTGGGCTGAGGAATGCGGTGGTTGGCGAGGCAATTGGTATCAGATAATAGGAACATCTCCCCACCGAGCATTCGTTGAGTGCATCATCGCCATACTAAGTGAGAAATATGCAGGTTGCTTTGTCGTCGGGGCAAGAAAAAGCGGAGCCTATCGTAAGTCATTTCATATCGTCTCACGGGGTATGACGTCGGAGGGGTTGCTCATCAACCGTCAAATCTGTAGCACACGACCTTATTTAGAGACCGTACCAACCCTCTCAAGAGTGGCATAAAATAGCAGATTCATTTTCAAAGAATTTTATCCTACTCTTATCACTCTACTCTACTTATCTTGAGATCCTTCTCATACGTGACAGCCATTGACACCTTGAACTTTCCATCCCGCGGAACCACCGAGTGACGTCATCATATACTACCTCATCTCCCACGACAGCTCATAGACCTCCCACTGCTTTCCAACTTTCACTTCTCCCTCTTCTTTACTTCCAAACCAAAAGCTGAAGCATCAATTACTTCCCCTTACTACAAACCAATCCTCCAAATACACCAAGATGCCTCGTGCCAACGAACCTACCGCCAAGGTCTTCTACAAGGGAGCTTCCGAGGACTTCATCGTCTTCGTTGACGACATCCAGATTCTCAACAACTGGCGCAAGGACCGCTCAATCCCACTGGCCGATGTGGTAAACGGCTTTAAGATCTTTGTCACTCACAAGTAGGTCCCTCCCATCTACCTTCTCGCCCCTCTTCCCCAGAACAATTGCATACTAACATCCGTCTACTAGACACGGTGCTCAAGGCATCATGGACAACGCTAGTAAGGGTATTCTGGAAACCGAGTTCGGCACATCGAACGAGGATGAGTGCATCAAGAAGATTCTAGAGAACGGTGATTACCAGTCCTCTGTGGTATGTTCTTTCCCCGCCCCTCACTGAGATTCTCCATGGATTTTACTGACTTTTAACTCTTAGACGAGGGAACGCCAGGATGATACCAATGTTGCTAACGGCCCCGTTGGCATTGGCCGGTAATTTCTTAATTTAGCGGAGCTAAGCATGTTTTTATGAGCCATGGATTGGGTTGTTATTGGGGTGTTTTCTTGAAATTTTATTGTATCTTAGGATGGGATGGATGGGGTTATGCTTGCATAAATCATGGCATCAATGAAATAACCTTCCACTGAGTGGATCTTGTTTGTGTTTGATTTCCCTTGGGATTTCCTCGTTGTAGCGTCGTACATGAGACTAAAGTACGTTAGGTGGTATTGTTCATGTAATTGCATAATACGTACTCAGATCCTTGTATATAGTTACATTGGACGGGTATTCTTGGCTTCTCGTCGACTCTTCACCCATTTCCCCAATTCGTTCCATACGGCCTGTTTCTCAGCCATGCTCATCCCGGCTGCCAGTCCACTAGTAGTGGTAGCAACAAACACCGGCGCCCCATTCCACCCCTCACCCCGACCCATGTTCTCCGACTCGTCTTGCCATCCGTAGCGGAATTCTTCCTTCCGGATCGCTCGACCCTTACGTACCCGCCATACGGCCTCCCAGATACTCTTTCCAACAAGACAAACGGCCTCTGGCCGTTGCTTGGCTACTTTCTCTTCTAGCACCGGCACGCCGGCGTCCATCTCCGCCTTGCTGAGCATGCTGGCGTCGCGGGTCGGACGCTCTACAATGTTGGTGTTTCCGATGTTATATAGTTCCGGTAGCCGGTAGGTATCAGAGGGAGGGTGGCGAATCGTCGTGATCCCAGACCAATGCAGGAGCTTCCAATATAGGTTCGATGGGTGGGCGTAGACGTGCCCCGTGGCACCGGTCATGATACCCGGGTTGACGCCTACCAGGAGAGGGTGAGGTTCGATGGGATGGTGTCGCGGAGGAGCGAGACGGGGGAAGACGCTGGTGTACTCTTACGAGAAGAGGGCTGACGGCGAGCGCGAGAACGACCCGGTGTACTTGGCTCCGTGGCGGGCGACGGGGACGGCGAGGCGAGGGAAGCCGGTGATGATGATGATGCGGAGCGAGAACGGGTTATCCGTTTGGGGAGGTTGAGGACGGCGGCAGAGACGGCTTTCTTTCTTCGCTTGGAGTTTGAGTCATTGTCGTTGCTGGATGCTTGGTCGTTGGACTCTGATTCAGACTTCCTTTTGGATAATGTATCTTGTCTTGAAGGGATATTCTTGGACATGTGGAAGTATTGGTTTAGTCTGCCGTTGAAGCTGGTCTTCTTGTTAACGGGCACGTCTTCAGTATCATCTGTGGCGAGGGCTGTTTCGATGTGGAAATCCTCGTTGGAAGCTGGAGGCGACATTCCGCTTCCAGGGGATTGTGGGAGCTTTGGCTGGGATTAGTGGTATGTGGTATCAGTTCGCAGGCAACTTTGAAGGAAGTCAAATCTAGAAAATATTTGGAAGCCTTTATATCATTATTAGCTGTTAAATGGTTAGTGCGATATTCTATTTTCTTCCATTGAAGGTCGAGCGCAGGAGGAAAGGTAGGTACCTACAGAGAGCGATGATAGGCCAGTCATATTGTTGATGTTATAGTCACGTGTAGAATGTTCCCCCATTAGGTTAGGGTGGCAAGGCATCCAGGCACCGAGGTTTTCGCCTTCCATTCGGACGATTAGTTTCCAAGTTGGCAGCGAGACCTACGTGGTCAACCCATTTTTCTAAAAATTTTTGCTCTGAATTTAATCGGTAATCAACCATAGCACTGGTATATATAGGTAGTATATATGTATGTACATGAGCCAAGATACTATACCCACTGAAGTCGCCAATCCGGCTATTACTAGCCTATTCTCCGTCGCTCTAGTATGTACTCTGCCCAATTAATTGGAGGTTGCTTTGGGGTCTAAAGTTCGCGCTCCATGGACTTGGCTTTGATAATTTGGTTTGATGATCGTGTTCATAATGCCTCCATTTTTTCTTTTCTGTTCAAGGTCTTCCTCTGTGCCTCACTATCGGTGGTATCAATTATGGTCGAGAGAGAGGGTCGGACTGAAACCAGGTAAGGCCATTGCTGGCTACTCATATCTTATCTTGAAGAACTGGGGGTAAACGCCGATGGCCACCCAAATAGTCATTAATTATGTCGTTTCACGTCATTAGGTCGTAATTCAAGCGCTAGACACGCATCGTTATACTTTGAGGGAATTTCGTTTAGGTAAGGTCCAAGGCACCGCGCAGACAACCTATATCTTTGTTAGACATGCTATCTCTGTGATTCAAGCTTCTTGCAAATGTACGAACCTCGCCTTCGGAATAAGCCCAGAAGTATACACCTATTCCGACAAGGTAATATATGGCGGGATCAGTTCCCTGGTATAGGAGCATAGAAAGTAGAGCGCTAAGAGGATATAGGATAAGACGAAATTCAATACTGCGATGTGGTAACGTCCCGGCAAAGTATTTCAGTGGCCATTCCCATGCGAGACCAAGCAGTCCCAAAAGCAGGTTGAGAATTTGTAACACCGGGATCGGTTTTACTGCGCCGTTGAGATTCTTCGTCATGAAATCCCAGAACACTTTCGGCCAGATGAAGCCTTCGATGGCACTGCCTACTTGATCTGTGGATCGGTGAAACGCGTTAGCTTGTCTCTATCCGACAGGGAAGAGCCAACATACATGCCGCGGCCGTGAGGATTATCAAGCGGGCCCAGTGGTTTTTGATAAGCCTTCCCATGGCACTCCGAATCTTCCTCGGCAGCCACGTAGAGTGAGAACTGCGACGCTTTCGTCCAGCGAAAGGAGTTTAACTTGAGAGTCGATAGAATTGCTGACGTCTCACAAGCAAGGAATTATGGTCGGCGTGGCCAGCTATCCTCGTCATCGATTGTATCAATTGAAGTCGCGTGCAGTGGAAGACCCAGTGAGAACATGGCAAGTGAAGTCGTATAAAGTTGATTGTTGCTCTGCGAACAGGTCGGATCTGAATGTGATAGTCGTAGATAAAGTTAAGATCAAATGATAAATCACATCACAAAACATCAATGCGCGCAGGATCGAGCGTGACCCTTCGTGGAGTCCAGAGAGTCATGTCCATGGAAGCGGTATGAATGGTAAATGGAGGGGGACTGAGAAGGAATACATAGCTTCCCGGCGCCTAAAGAGGGTCACCACATGATCTCGATTGCCCCATCAACAGATCCGTATGCACGCATGAAATCCCATCGTACAGCGATGTGATACGCGGATTCGTTTCAAGAACCGCTCAAGACCAAGAGCCAATTGGAAGCATTATGCCGCTTCAGAGGACATACTCGGTACTCTCCTCTTGGGTTCTTCACGGGGATAGAGCTCTCGACGCTCTTGATTGGACTTGAGAAAGTAGAGACGTTGTGACAGCCAAGTTCAATCCCAGCACTTTCACTCTTCAAAACCCTGGTTGGGCGCTACATCTATGCGGAAAGCAATGGTCTCTAGCAAATCAGAAGGGAGAACTGGCGAGATGGAAGGTGTTCAGCACATTAGCGCCGCGACGGTGCGTGACAGTGGAGCGCAACCTGCAGGAGATTTACGGGAACAGAATTTAGTCGCCGATACTTGTGCCACTCCCGCATTCTGATTGACCGCACAAGCCCCATGCTAAACAATTAGGGCCTGGTCATTGCTCTTTGACCAGGAAGATTTTTGTGAAGACCCACGAAGCGGGGAACAGTATCCTGGTTGCTGCTGGTATTTCCATGCCCGATGGCTGTTCTGCCTCGGCGGTAACTGATGCTACACAGCCATATCTGCACAGGCACTCATGCCCATTCAATGTTGTCTCATAATCCAAATACAACACACAGGAGGATTAAGGGAAAAACAAGACCAAGTTGGAAGGATTTCAAGGCGATTAATCGAGGCGCAGATAATCATTGGTCTCACCGTCTTTTCTGTATCACCGCCAGCCACTGCGCTAGATCACCAACTAGTTTTGAATTATGAATGTTTACTACCGAGTTGGCCACACTAGCTATGGGGTAGATGTGACGAGCTGTCCATCATGCAGAGCCGAGCAGTCCAGGATCCTCGTCCGCATCATCTCGGACTCGGATATCTTGGGCTCTCCTGACGCCAAGGCCCAACCGTCGGTGGAAATCAGAATATGCACGGAGATGGTTGCCACTTTGGACTAGTTCTTTTAATACTGCGATGCTGAGAAGCGACTGAAAGAGCTATATTTGGTAGCGACCCTAGGTTGATCAACTCATGCGATGGACGGGGTTGCTACTAGGCCGTGCGACGGGAAGCGCGCTTGCAGAGCGCCTCTCATAGGGCAACCTCAAAATGAGTGGCAGGATCTCCACCCTCAAAGAAGCAAATCACCTGGTGGCATGAGTATAAGAAAAATCGTAAGTTAGCTACAGTGATGCCAAGGACGCACTCCTCCCCAATCATTCTCGACTTATGCTCGAGCCACATGGTTATCACTAGGATATGAGAAGATCAGAAGAATTTCGACGGAAAAGATAGCGATGGCCCCTCCAGATTACTATTTTTGAACATCAAGCTAGTGGGAGAAGAATAATATGATGGTGGCATAACTTGCTAATCAAGGTTCAGAACTAATTGTGATAGATATCTGGCCGTTCATCCTCTGGCCAAGAATACGAGAAGCAAGGCTGAACTCAATGAGAATCGCACGGGGCCCAATAGACACTTCTGACTCGAGACTGTGGCACATCACCGAGTTATACGATAGGATAGATTGAAGGTATCCTAGAGCGTGTTTCTGGGGGTATTTGAGGTGTGCTTTGAGGTACGTACATACATAGGTAGGAGTGGTGCACAGAGCGTTGAAGTCACTGGATGTTCAATGCCCTAAGAGTCGTCGTAGTGGTAGCTAGTGAGTGGATGGAGTAAATATAGCAAAAGGTGCATATTTAGTCTCTTCCCCCTCGACCGGTGGCTTTCCCCCTCCCTCTTCCCTGCAACCAAAACCACACCCCCGGAACCAAGGCAACAAAAGAAGAGTTCAATTAAAAAAAAGAAAAAAGAAAAAAAATTAATCGAATCTCCATCACTGGACCCCACATTAGTTCTCTCAACGTTCAAACCACTTTTGTCTATGGCCTGGTAACTGTCAAGCTAACAATGGTTGAATTGACTTGCGCCGTACCCTGGCACCAACCTATTGTTGTTTAGCATCATAATAATCGTGTGTGGCTTCGCTTTCAGTTGCTTTAATCGGCCACTGAGCACTTACTGTCGCTGAAGCCCATTTCCTCGCTATATCACCTACGGCCAGCACATGATATCGCGAAGGATCAAGGCAAAAGGGAAAAACTACCGATTCATATACGTCCTGGGAACGCTGGTTTATCGCTTTCCTACGCTATCATTGCTGGGGGGCTCGGCCAATATCCGGTTGTTTAACTTACGTTTCTCTCGACAAAAATACCTAAGCCAGTATACAGAAGATCAAGATTGCATGGATTGCAGACAGGGAACATCTGAGCCATTCGTATGCAAAAATTGCTCCTCTGGTCTGAGGCACAGGCATATTTTACTCCCGAAAGGCACACAAGACGTTGACGCTACAAAACGATTCTCGTCTCGTACCACCAGTCATTGCTGGTCGATGACACAGCTACCCTTTCCTTGTTCTTGTTAGACTTGCCCGCGGGAATTGACTACGTTGCTTTTCATTCCGCGTGGGGCCAGCATGTCATACACATGGGGTTCTCTGTTTACTGGTTCTAAAATCCTGTTCTATATACTCTTCTGGGGTTCTCATATTGCGGTGTTTGCACTTGGGTGGTAAGTATGCCGGTCTATATGATCTTGCGACTAGCTCGCTGAGAATTCATAGGTATTTCCAAGCCAACAATTCAAAATTGGATGCCCTCAATGCCCTCGAATATTCCGTCTGGATCTCCAGAGGTGCAGGCTTAGTACTGACATTCGATGGAACCCTGATTCTGTTGCCCATGTGCAGGAACATTGTCAAAACTCTCAGGCCTAGGATCCGATGGCTACCGCTCGATGAATCGATATGGTTCCACCGCCAAGTCAGCTATGCTCTGCTTATCTTTACCATTCTCCATGTGGCCGCCCATTATGTCAAGTAAGTAAGGGCCTCAAAGAATCATCCATAGCTCTAACACGCAATAGCTTTTATAACGTCGAGAAGAACAACATTCGGCCCGTTACAGCCGTTCAAATACATTTCACTGAAGCAGGGGGGATTACAGGTCACGTAATGCTCTTTTGCATGATGCTAATATATACTACGGCTCATCACCGGATCCGCCAGCAGTCGTTTGAGACCTTCTGGTATACTCACCACTTATTCGTGCCCTTTATGTTAGCCCTCTACACTCACGCTACGGGTTGTTTTGTTCGCGACTCTACAGAACCATACTCACCCTTCGCGGGTGAAGATTTCTGGAAACATTGTATCGGATACGAAGGATGGAGATGGGAGCTAGTAGCAGGTGGTCTTTACCTCCTCGAAAGGCTCTATCGTGAGATTCGATCTCGGCGTGAAACAGTAATAACAAAGGTGATCCGTCATCCATACGGTATGTTGACAATAGTTCCATGGTCTTTTGCCCAGCATCTCGATGACCTAACAATCAAAATAGATGCCATGGAGATCCAATTCCGTAAGGAGAGCATGAGGTACAAAGCCGGCCAATGGCTCTTCATCCAAGTCCCTGAGGTGTCGAGCAACCAATGGCACCCCTTTACCATCACCTCCTGCCCGTTTGACCCGTACATCAGTATCCACGTCCGCCAAGTGGGAGACTTCACACGAGCCCTCGGTGACGCCCTTGGATGCGGACCGGCCCAAGCCAGAGACCTCGAAGGCCTCGACCCGCTCGGAATGTATGAGGTTGCGCTTGAAAACGGACAGAAAATGCCTCAACTCCGCGTCGACGGACCCTACGGAGCCCCAGCTGAGGACGTTTCGAAACGAAATCGCTGTTCTCATTGGAACTGGCATCGGCGTCACACCATGGGCATCCATCCTAAAGAACATCTGGCACATGCGCGCTGGACCTAACCCGCCCCGTCGTCTTCGCCGCGTCGAGTTCATCTGGGTCTGCAAGGATACCTCTTCCTTCGAATGGTTCCAGGCTCTCTTATCCTCACTCGAGTCCCAGTCTGCCTACGAGGCAGCAAACGAAGGGCGAGTGGAATTCTTGCGCATCCACACCTACCTTACACAACGTCTAGACGACGACACTACCGCTAACATCTACCTCAATTCCGTCGGCCAGGAGGTCGACCCCCTCACGGAGCTGAAGAGTCGGACCAACTTCGGCCGTCCAAACTTCCAGCGTCTCTTCACTGCCATGCGCGATGGTCTCCAAGACGGGACATACATGCCTGGCTTATATGCCGAATTTGCAACGCAGATCGGAGTATATTTCTGCGGACCCAATGCCGCTGCTCGGCAGATCAGGGAAGCTGCCATGACATCGGCAACTAAGGATATTAAGTTCAAGTTCTGGAAAGAACACTTCTAATGAGGGGTTTGTTCTGGAGAGGAGAGCCGGGTCTAGTGGCTCCGGTGATTTTTTGATGAGTTACGAGTTTTCTTTATCGACATCTTTCTTTCCCCTTTTCGACAATGCGAGTTGCGTGTCATTGACTAGTGTATGTACCTGATGAGATGCAATGCCCTGTACAGTAGACCAGTATATAGTTATAAATGGTTCACTCTTCAATTTGCTAGGGTGAATAGTTATGGTATCTTTTCCTGTATTTCATAGGCCAAAGACTGATATGATACACGTTGATTGAATAATAGGTTGTCATAGTTGCATCTGCTCATCCTCGCTATCGGCATCTTCCGGCATGGCAATTGGTAGCCCCAGCGCAGCTGTCTTCTGCTGCATCTCCGCCAACAGCTCGTCCAACTCATCTTCGATATCGACATGAACCCGCAATTCCTTCTCTATCAGGACATTATACACACTTCGTAGCTCATAGAAGTTCATGCCATCGCCCTTCCGTGATGCGCTTGGATGCAGCTCCCGGACGATATCTGCCCTGAGATGGCTGAAGGCAAGCATGATGAGCTCTTTGGACCAAGGACAGGCGCGCATACCACGGTAGAAGACATCTTTGGCACGATTGATGTCGTGCTGAGATAGCTCGAAGAGAATGTAGAGTTTCCAGAGTGTGAGGTTGGAGCGGGCGGTGGAAAGTGTGTTATGGTGCGTTGAGGTCATCGGGTCTTTGTCGCCAATAGCCTTTTCGAAAGCCGCACGGACAGAGTGTGGGGTAGAACCGGCATACACAGGACGATTTAGTTCGGTGAAGATAGAGAATAAGTGGGATGTGATTGGTACTTGGGTTGTGAAGATTTGGTCGGCACGGTTGTGGGCTTTCGTCGTTATGTCCATGATGGTATCCCTAACGCGCTCTTCGATACGGAACCGAGATTCGTTCCAAGCAAAGAGGGACAGAAATATCGTGTTATGGGGGAATAAGGATATGCTATCTGCCAGCAGAGCACGAATCTGGGAGGGCTTGTATATGCTGCTTGTGCGGGCGTGATAGTAGAGCAGTCTTGCACGCGCTTGGTGCAGGAGTTCAATAGAAATGGATCTGAACGATTCGAACTTTGCTGGCAATGTTGCAAGTCTGTTGAAGCCATTGCTGTATGGCTGAAGGGCTTTATTTAGATCCCGAGAGTTAGAAAGGTATGTTAGTATTGCTAGACAGTCCGTGCAGGCCACAAAAGTGTTGGCTTTTCCGGCTGCAAGCGAGGCCTCTTGGTTATCTGATAGTAACTGCTTTGAGTTAGCCTAGTGGTAAGGAGTGAAAAGCTTGTCTACTTACACTCTGAGTCTTCAGCAGGCTTGTTGGGTTGAATATGTATTGTTTAGAATCCACCGGAGCCTTCAGGCTAGGACTGCTCTGAGGCATAGAACTGAAGAGATAAGATACATAATCTAAGCTGCCAGCCTCCAGCATCTCCCATATACAAGTATGCCAAAGGAGAACAGCATCGACCTTTTCCTCCTCAGTAAACGTCTTACTGTTTTGGCTCATAGATAGAGTGGTCTCCCACACACGGTTGGCGGCCTCCAGGTTGCCTGACCGACGTTCAATAAGAGCATACACATTGTAGAGCCACAGGCTGGACGGCCGCTTTTTGAGTAAGGATTTCGCATACTTTGCTGCCTTGCTGCGGTCACCTGCAAACTCCACCGCAATCGCATACGCAGCCAAATGGTCATTTTGTGGCATCAGCTCTACCAAAGATCTCAATACCTTGGAAACCCAACCGGGGTCGACATCGGACCGAGAGTTCAGTACGCTTGTAGCCCAAGGACCAATGGAGGAGAACCATGCCTCGTGGTCCGCGAAAAGAGTATCGAATGAATGAACAAAGTTCTGGAAGTAGCCCGGCGCCGAAGCGGTATTTCTAGCATCGGTGTCGTATTTAGGAACCCAGCGATCAAGCGTGGAATCAGAGCTACTCATGAATTCATTTCGCAAGAAGCTGTCACCCATCCAGTGATTGGTTGTCTTCGAGTTGCTGGAGAATGCAATAGGAGGAAGATGACAGAAGTATAGAAAGCTGTCAACCAGCACGTCTGTTGATGCTAAGCCCCATACAAGCGATAGGACCTCCAGAAGATCGGCCGAGAGAACTACACGATAGGGATCATCGTTCTCTTCATCTAAGCTGCGAGCTGGAAGGCGAGCGTTGTTAATTCGTTCCCGTTCGCATGACATCCAAGACGCGAATACAGACTTCGAGTTCACTCGATTTTGTGATGTGAAGGATCTGGGCTCCAAAAGAGTATTAAGGCCGCTCTGCCAGCCCTTTGCGCCAACTTCACCAATACGCACAACTTCAGAATCCCAGAAATCCATGAACGCCGACAGCACCTCTTCTCGAGCTGTGACAGAATCCGTTGTCCCCGATTGAAAGAACGTAAGCTCTAGAATTGCTTGCCATAGACCTACTGCATGTTCGGTGAATCCGGCTTCCCGAATGAAAAGCGTCAAGCGAAGGAAGAGGTAGACTTGAACATGGGCTTTCTCCGGGTTGTCGGATGCAGATCTGTTCAATCTCATACAATCAATGAACGTAGCATAGCATCGTTCGTAAGTAAATTCAAGAAATTCAGTCTGTCGGAAATCAAGATATTTGACCCAGAGGCTAATGAAATGAGGATTTGATTTCAGTACAGCCTGCCACCGTGCTGAAAGCTTTTTCGTGTCCCAAAGTTTGGCGCCTTCTTCTAGAAGACCGAGGAGAAGAAGATCACGAGAAGCATGTCCTCCAACCTTCTTCAAGGCTTTCTCATAGAGGGATATCTTGATATCGGCCAAGCTCTTCTTTTCAGCATACGTGAGGGTTTTCGTTTCTCCTTCGGAGCCTTTCAGAAGAGATTCCTGATGCTCGACAAGGTCAATCCATGCACGCACATCGGTGGGATTGCGCTCAACATTCCTGGACAGCTCGACATTGCGCTGTTTAACTTCTTTATCAGGGTCGACTCGCGCCGTCTCGTCACCACTCAAATCGGTGTCTGATACTTCTTCCATGTCACTGGGAAGGTTATCCTCTTGCTTCGCCTTTCCATGAATTGAACGATAGCCATATCTCTCGTCGTCCGAACCCTCATGTCCTGAGACATCGCTGCGTTTGTGATGCACGGAGGCCGTAAGTGGAAGATAATCTTTCGAGGCGTCTGCAGCTGCATCTAACGTAGGTGCTGGTCGTATCCGAAGTAGTTTCGTTCTCTGTGTGCTCCCCCCAGATATTATACTCTTCGACCTTGTCCTTGAGCCATCGGAGCGCCAGGCATCTGCCTTGATGATCAACGCGTCTCCTTCGGCGGTATCGCGATCGATCTTATAGGTTGGAGGAAGACCTAGCACGCTACCTCGACCTATCCGGTAGTAGAGCGGAACATTGTAACGATGAATAGTACCGTATATGATATTGTATCTATCACCTTTACGATCCACAACATATAGATCTGACGCCTCCGCCTCTAACTTCACGGTGTCTCGCGGCACCAATCGGTGCTCAGGAATAAGCTCCCGTTCGGAATGAGACGCCTCCTTATGGTCATGACGGATGTTTTTACGCTCTCTTCGACGATCTCTAGAGCGGGAACGGTCTCGGTGATGTCTGTGTCTCGAACGGTGTCGTTTTGAGTGGTGTCTGTGCCTGTCTTCTTTGTCGGAGCTGTCGCGACTGCGGCGCTCGGGAGGCCGATCAGCTTCGGGTGGAGGCGCTGGTCGAGGCTTGAAGCTGGCGAACCGAGGGATGGACTTCTTCTCCGGCTAGAAAAAATATATTGCAATTAGTTTCGATAGTAGATCAATGTTCCAAGAAAAAGGACCAACCTGAGAGCTAGAGGAATCCATGCTCCTGAGCGTGAGGCATCGTGAGCCTTGAAGATCAGTTGTTTGGTGGTTGTCACTGGAAAAACTCCGCCTCCGCTTCCCGTAATTTTTTCTGGTTGGAGAGGCGGCAGTAAAAAAAAAGGCTACTCCGATCACCCACCGTTGCCGGCGTGAAAAAATAACCCAATACGCCTGGGGAGACTGAATTGTTGTTCAAGTTCGAGAAGTGTGTTTCTGAGGGATGGGTTACTATTGTAAATACGGTTAAGGAACAATATACGCTTCAAGATGGCATCGTCCCTCGCTGCGCAGCTGTCGCAGATTGCGGCAAACTCGACCAACCAGTTAAACCTCAAGGCGCAGAGGATAGCGCATTCACAATCTTTGATTTTCGACAGAAAGGTCGCCGGGTCCCAAGATTTCGATACGATCTATGATATATGCAACGAAGGTTTCCAGGAATTATGCGAGTTGGATCCCCGATTTGCGCAATTCGAGCGCACGATCTTCAGCGAACAGAGCAAGGCGCAGGAGCGAACGGAAATGAACGTTGCCCAGAATAAGGAGCTGGATGCAGTTTTGGAGACTTTCCTTGCTTTGGTCGGAGGGAAATTATTGCTGAGTCCTGCTGTAAAGGCTGTTGACTGGCTCATTAGGCGTTTTCGGTACGATTGAAACGATTCATTGACCTCAATCTCCAAACTGTTCGACAACCATGGGCTAACAGAATGTGCAGGATACACGAATATAACACGGAGTTTACGATCCTCACTTTCCTTCCATATCACACCACCCCTCTGTTCCTGAACCTATTGTCGATACTTCCAGAGGATCTGACACCGACCTTCAAAATTCTCAATCCCTATAAGAAAAGCTCAATCAACCCCCCGCGCCATCCTCTCGTGCACAGTGCTACCACAAACAAGCCATTCTTCGCAGCTTTAAATAGATACACCATTCAAGTCAGCAGGGAACGAGCGGGTCACCATGCGCTTTTGACGTTTTGGGCGGGTATCGTAACAGAGTCTGTTGCTGGAATGCTGGATTCGGGGCGTTCGGGTCGACGAAACATTGAGAAGGAAAACCACGACGATATCATCATGCGAGTTCTTCCGGTATTGAATGACGGGTTGGCTATGAAGGATGT